CTCAATATGCATGTTGAAGTCAGTAACGCACACGCAGAGATAAGTTCTAGGAGTGCTGTGACTTAAAAACTAGCAGCGGGCGATTGACTTAAATAGAAACTTATTGAGATCTCACCCACCAAGACTTAAAGACGCCAAGAGCTCGGCGTATCAAAAGTTTGCCCACCGAAGATTTTTTTGGGTGCTCTGTCTTATAAACTAGTCATAAGGGGCTATTGCCTCCTCTTACGCTGAAGTACTTGGCCTATTTCTCTTGTAGTTTTTTCCTCCAGGATCTGATTTGAAGTAATTGAGAGGAGAGAGTCAAATCCTGCTCTACTTTCAAAATATTAATACGAACTGAGAACGTGATACAATTTTTTTACGACGAACCTTTAGAGAAAACTTTCCGCTCTCTTCCTCAGCAACCCCGTCCAAATCTATCTGAGTGAATTTGACTTCAAAGGTTCCCCAACGCGCTGAATGCCTCTTCCCTTCTATTATAATAATACCAGCTAAGGATCTAAAATTTCTTCTACAATACGCTTTTCCAATGCTCACTTACACAACAACGACGCTCCGTTCATCCAAGTACAGACGATTTCCAAGACCTCGAACGCAACTGCATTTGATCGGTAAAGAAGATCCCCATTCAATGCACACTCCGTCAGCTTACGGACCTCCCAAACTCATCGCAACGCAAAAATCGGCCCAGCTCAAGGCAATCTGCTAATGCTGGGTTTTCCAGTTTTCCACACGGGTCAATCACTTTTACATACGCATGTCGAACACAAACCAAATCGCGCTGATAACACACAAGCGGAGATATTTTTATCAGTTGCACAAATCAAATATTGATAACCAAACAACGCCACCAAAAAAAAAAACAACAACCACGACCACCATAACTTGGGTAATGGTAAATGTAAACAAGGCGGCCGAGGTACAGCTACCAGAGACCACCAACCATCGTGGCGCAAGTAGGTGAAATGAGTTAACTCAAGCAACAACAACAACAGCAATGCGTCCAACAAACATTGATGGAGACCAGATAAGTCTCAGCGGGCCTCGGAATCGTAGGTGAAATCGTCAAATCTTGACAGGCGAGCGACTGAACGAAGCGAAGAGGAATGACAACGCGATCGCTCGTTAGCGCGAACACAGTGCGCCGTGCGAACCGCTGGACACGGGGCGTGTGGAGGTGCCAAGCGAAGCAGTGTAGAATTACAGTTTGCGCAAGCTTATCAGCAACGCGTATCGTGCGGCCAAGATATCAGCACCCATACAGGTAAAGACCAGCTGGTCGTGTGTGAACGAATGGATCGACAGGCGGCAGAGGGTTGGCTGCGGAGCGATGGCCAAATGACGGATGAATGTATGGCTATTGGAGCCTAATCAAATGGTTATTTGACACTCGTCGAAGTATTTGTTTTTATCGGAGGATTTGTATACACACATTCCTCCTCGGCTTGTACTGCACTGGGTTCCGAGCACCGAGCTTCGTTGGCCGGACTCTGCCGCGTTTTTGGTCGTTTAATACACATTCGACTGGTATCGTCGTTGGCGATTGTGTGGGATTTTGTATAGTGAAATAACGGTGGGTCGCCACTTCAGACGAAGCCATAACTAGCATAACCGTTAAAGCAACCACGACGGGTGTATTACTACGTAACCGAAACGAGCGGAGCTGTGATCCGTGGTGAGTGGACGGCAGCGAAATAAGATCGACGGATTGGTGGGAGCTTGTGACGCGGGTGAAAAGAAATTCAAAAAATAATTGTTGAAAAAATTTAGCCAAAAACTTAAAAAAAAATCGAAATATCATTGGAAAACGTGTTTAAAATTATTAAAGATATTAAAAACTCAAAAAATTTAATTAATGTGTAATTAAAGTGAAAACAAAAAAAATATTAAAAATCAAATGTTTTTTTTTTTAATTTAAATAATAATTTATTTTTTTTTTAAATTAATGTGAAATATATAAATACAAAAATCAAAAAAAAACCACCGTTATTAAATAAGACTAAAAACCGATAATTTTTTGAAAATTTAAAAATATATATCTTAAAAATTTTAAATTTTGTTTATGAAAATTGGTAAGAAGTCGTATATTTTAAAAATTTCAAAATTTCAAGATTTGAGCTCGTAATAACAATTAAAAAGAGGAAAAAAAAATTTCAATTGAAAGTTTTTAATATATATACGAATATATATATAAAATAAAAATATTTAAAAATTTTGTCATATTTGAGCCCTTTTATATATAAAATATTTTTAGTAATTAGAAAATTTCAAAATTTAAAATTTTAAGTTCAGAAAAAACAAACAAAAACTAAAAGAAGTATTAAAGTAATAAAAGTAAAAACTTGAACGAAATTTTGAAGAAATCAAAATTCTTAAAAAGAATCACCAATTCATAGCATTTAACAAAATATATATGTATTTTGTGAAACTTAAGCAAATTGTTATTCATACTTTGTCTTGAAAATTTAAAATAAAGATTTAAAATAGATTAAGACAAGTGAAAAAAATTTAAATAATAATTTTGGAGTCAGAAAAATTAAATTAAAAAATTTGAAACTAAAAATAAAAAATTATTTTTAATAAACTAACAAAAATCAAAATTAGAATAAATATTAAAATTTTGTTATGACTAATTTCTAGCTTTTAAAATAATAATTTTTAGTGCTTAAAATAGAAAAAAATTAACTAAACTCCAATGTAACTGAGCCCATTTAAAGCAACTTTAATATAAAGCAAAAAAAAATTAAAAATAAATACATAAAAATTATTAAAAAAACTTAACCAGAAAAACTCATTAAAGAGCCAGCTAAAAATAAAAAAAATTCTAGCAAAATAAATTTAAAAAAAATGAATTAAATAAATTTAATTAATGTAATTTAAAAAGAAAACATTACAGAAAAAATTAATGAAAGCTTGCCAGTCGTTTCAAATTTCAAAACATTTAAAAAAAAAAACAATAAAAATAAAAACAAATTTTCCACTTAAAATATTGTTAGAGACGTTTCGTAAAAATATAAACATCAAAAATATCAAATTTCAAAAACTTAAAAAAACTTACAGCAAATTATAATAAAATACAGTTATTTGAAAATTGAAAAAATGTATAATTCAGTGTAAACTCAATACTCAAATAATTTTCGAAAATAAAAAATTTTTTGCAAAAACCTACGAAAAATGCTTTGAAGAAATTCTAATTTTCACAAAAATCAATTAAATAAATTCGTTTGTACAACAAAACAATTCTTCGCTGTATTTTCATGACGAATTCCAATAATGCGCGTTTAATTTCCAGTTCTCTTCCAACAAATTTATAACCAATAAATTTTTATGACAATACGCAGAAGAAAAAGCCTTAAACAAATTGTAAAAATAAAAGATTAAAAATTGAAAAAAAAAAAAAATCGAAAATGCACATAAATTGTTCATACGGTAGCTAATTTGGCCTATCAGTGATATAGTAATAACAACAACAAAGACTAGCAGAAAATAAAATTCAATTTTATTACCCAAAACTACTCAAGGGACGTGAGTGCTGCGCCGATTTATAATTCAAGTGTAAAGTCTTTTGCAACAAACAGAACCAAAAACAATAATCATAAATACAAATACATATATACATACACGCATATACATGTGTACATATATATAAAAACCATTGTTAAGATACAATACTATTAATAAGCAGTGGTGTAAACCAAAAAACAACAAGAAAAATTTGAAAAACCACAAAAAACGGATACTAGAAATTAAAAAACAAAAAAAAATCTAAAATATGTTAAATAGCAATAGATATAATTTAAAAAATAAATTATAATAAAAATAATTTAGAAGATTATGATTAGAAATTAGAACCAATTAAAATTTTGAAATAAAAAAATATTCAAATTTTAATTTAAAATAAAAATTCAAAAATTAACAGTATTTTAACTGAATAAATTTTTTTTTCATTTCATATATATTACAAATATATAACGGTTCGAGAGTGCAATCTCCTGCTGCGTCAGTGCTTGTTTATCACACTCATTAATTGTTTAATTGGATAATTAAAAAGTGATTGTCTTCAATCGTCTTAAACGCCTACGAAGAGCTGTCTGCTCCACAATAACGGTAACCAATACGCTACAATGTCATTGTAGTGTGTTTGTTGCTGTTCGGCGCAGTCATCTGTCAAATTGGTATTATAAATCGATTCATGGAAAATGTCATGCCATTAATATTGATTAATTCTTCATGCATAAATTTTTATTATTTTTCTTGAGTAAATAAAATAAAATAAAAAATAAACTGAAATAAACTGTAATAAAAGTAAAAAAAATTTAATTATATTAAATTAAATTTAAAAAATTAATAAAATAAAATTAAATACAAAAAGTAAATAAATAAAACAAAATGTAGTAAAAAAAATTAAATTATATTGTAAAAAGGAAAAAACAAAAGCAGAGAATAAAATAAAAAAGTTAAATTAAATTAAAAAAGTGAATAAGTAGATTAAAAATTTAAATGAATTAAAAGTGAAAAAAGTGGATTAAATTAAGATTAAATAAAATTAAATAAAGTCAATTAATAACAAAACCTACATACACACACTCACTTAAATTAATTAAAATTAAATTTAATAAAATACAAATTAATAATATTTTTATTCATTTGTTTTTCCTTTAGTTATTCAAAACAATTAAAACCCTTTAGTGAAAAATAACATATTATTGAGTGGAAAATGCTAGAAGTGAAAATAGAAAAATTGAATCGAAAAAGCATAACACAAAACATTAAAACAAATGAGAATAAATAAAAGCGAAAGTAAAAAAAAAGTTACCAAAAAGGGCGCGCTGTTAAAAAAAAAAAACTGAAAAAATCTAATTTGAAGTTAAATAAAATTGCATAGTAAATTTGCAAAAAAAATATTAACAAAAAATTAATTAAAAAAGACAAAAAAATTGAAAATAAACCAAAAATAAAGAAAATAACAATTTTGAGTGAAAATAAAAGCTAAAAAATAAAATTAAAAATTTATAATTAAAATTATCAACCAAAAAACTATAACAAAAAACTATTGTGCACCCCACAATGGCCAATTACAACTCAAATTGTGGCTATTATGACGACTACATTGGCTATTATTCCAATGCAAATGTTTATCAACAGGATTACTGCATGCAACCGGAATATGAATATAATAAACATGAATATGAGTGAGTATCGCAATTACAAATGCAACAATGAGAAAATTTATTAACATATTTCGTTGAAAGATTTACTAGTAGTTTTGAAAAATGATTTTTATGCAACAGTTGCATACATATGTTTATATGTATATATGTATATTCATATGCATGTATGTGTACTTCAGACATCCAAAATGCCGACGGCTTAAAACAAAGCTATTATTTTTAGATATATAGAAAAAATAAATGAATATTAAATATTGAACAAAATTTTAAATTAAAAAACACTTTTAAAAAAATTAAAAAAAAATTAAAAATATTAAAAAGTTATGAAATTAACAAAAAAAAATTTAAAGAATCAGATCATTAGACTTTTATAAAAATCTTTCGAGAATTAAAAAGAAATCAACAAAAAAATTAATTTACCGAAATGTTGAAATATGATACATGTGATATATCTTTATATCTTTTTTTAGTTCTGGAATAATTAAATTATTTATTTATTTATATATATATTTTTGTCGAATTTACGTTTGGCATTGGCCAGTTGACGGTTAATTTAAGGAAATACTTTTGGTATGCAGTCTCTTTTAACAAACATTTAAGCTCTTCAGTGAGAAAAAAGACAACAACAAAAACATACTGGTACGAGCTTGTCATGTCAATTGACATTTTACGCCAATAAAATCAATGTCCTCACTCGCACTTACCAACAAAATGTACTCAATTAGAGTTTCTGAGAGGGAAACGGCAAGAGAAAATTTTACGCAAAAAATGTGGAAAAGTAGGATATATAATTTTTCATTTATAATTAACTTTTTCGTTTATATTTAATATTTTTATTTTTATTTTTTTTTTTTGCCGACGCGTTGTATGAATTGCCGTGACGAGCGAGTTTTTGATATTTTTATTTCATTATTTTTTTTTTTTTTTTTTTTGGGTAGGAATTTTGAAGAGTTTCTTGCAAGGCAAATTCACACATGGTAGTAGACAAAAATCCTACGTATTTTGTTTGTGTAATTTGTTGAAATGGCAGGAGGAACAAGCAATTATATGGTGTGACAACTTCACCTTCTAAGAATTCGCCATGATATCTTGCTTCTCATTCCTCGGCATGAAATTTGAAGTTCGAAAATATAATTTTATTGCAAAAAAAACTACTATATTTCATTTATTAATAATTTTTAATTTATTAATTTGAAAAAAATATATCTTTAATATACACACATACCATTATTGCCACATTTCCTTGGAGATTTACTTTCAGAAACATCACTTAAATTTCCCCCTGCAATTAAACGTACTTGAGTATCCAATTCAGCCCTCTTCTAAACCTTTTCACCTTACTATACCTATTGAAACATACCTACATAGTTGGAAGTTGATTAATCCTGGGAATTTCCACAAATGCTTTCCAAGCAATTTTTTGTTAATTTTTTCATTTTTTTCTTAATATTTTTTCTTTTTTTCTTTTTTTCCTTATTTTTTTCTTTTTTTTTGATACTATTGTATTCTTTATTATTCAAGCATATCTCTCTCTCTCTTGGCTCTTGGATTGTTGTTATTTTGGTATCGTTGTTGTTGTTGTTGCCTTTGATTTGCATGTTCTGCTAGCATTAAAATGCAGCGAAAAAAGTACTCAGCAAAAGAAGGCGACGGAAATCGTAAAAACAAGAAATTGTCATAAAGTTTGTCGGGGCTGTCAATCAAGCGTTGGGCTTCACAACTTTCACCATGCAAGCGGAAATAAACAGTTGAAAGCGGAAGCAAATGTGCATATGTATGTACATACATGCAATTATATGTGAAAGTTTTCAGGAAAATTTCCTTGATTTTTTTTTTTGTTATTTTTCAAAACTTTTGTAAAGAAGATTCGCATTTGCTTCCGCTTGTCCATGTCATATGTGACGTGGCTGTCATTTAATTGTCTACTTGCTGCTATTTTCTATTTTTTTTTAATATTTTCATTTCTTTTTCCGTTTTTTATGTATTTTTTCTGCTTTCTCAACATTTAAATTGATATTTTCATATGTCAAAAGGTAAAAAAGGATTTTTTGGCATTTTTTTCTTCTAGTTTATAAACTTATTATTGTTGTTGTTGCACTTCATTGCTATAACGGTTTATAAATGACAGCTAATATAGCGCTTTATGTGCTCTGCCTGTACTCAGCTGCAGCGGCGATGAATACACCTGCTCTTCACTCGCTCCCCCAACTTCCCTCACTCTCTCTCTCTCCCCTCCACTCGCTCAACCACTCATCCACCTATTTCACTTAACGTCATATTATTTAACATTTGGACATTTAATATGTCTTTTGCTTACTTATTTATTGTTTTTCTTCACTCACTTTTTATTTATTTGGCATTCAATCCGTTTTTTACTCGTTTTTTTTTTTTTGTTTATTTTCTGCTAGACTTTTCGAGAGTGTCATCATTGTCGCTTTATTATTATTTATTATGGGAAAATACGATTGGAAGTGCAAGTAGCGCTCAAGTAGAAAGCGCTCGCCCCATGCTCAGTACTGAGTTTGTTGAGTTTTTTTTTCTATAGGTAGGTGGGTAGGAGTCCTGGTCGAAGGATACTGACCTCGGACGCTGGTAGCAGGCGCGTGAACATAAGGCTTTGATATTCCAGCTCACAGACTGCTCTGTTGAGTGAACGGAGAGAATCGGGTGCGCAGTCAACAAATGTGATTCCTCATTATCGAAGCGTGCTCTCCAAATGACTAATGGTCCCCAATTTAAGGAGCCTTTAGCTCAAGACCTGACATAGTTTAAAGTAAATATCCAACTATTCTCAACAAAAATCACTCAAATTGCAAGTCAGGCTCTCTCCCCATGGCAGCCAAAGTGTTGTCGCAGCTTCGAACTCGGACTCGAATTACAAAAATTCCTACCGCTCCCTTCCACTCATCAGGCTTTTCTTTACCAATCACCGATGTGGAATCCAGATAAGTGCGTGGTCGAGTTGTTCTGACAGCGAGCTTAATATCCTCTATCAATTGCTTATGACGCTGGAGATTTTAATTGGTATCAACAGTGGTCCGAGTCCATGAAATGTTCGCAGTTCCATTGTCAGCACCACTCGAGCCATTGTTGGATAGGAACGGATGCGGTCACAGGTCTCGAGATTCTTTCTGGAAAGATACTTCAAGAATGAAATAAACAATAAGGAGAATGAGGGGATTTCCCATCTCAGAGGCATTTGTCCTGATGGTATCTATTTCAAAGGACTGCTCAAGTTTCGAGAGCTTAATAGCTCCAGCTTCCACAAAATTTAGTTTCAGTCGGTTTCGCTTAAAATCCAATATCACTTTTCAACGCAGGCATTCGTACAGAAAGGTTTTGCTGGAGATTTATGGTTCTTTTCGCTGGCAAATATGGATCCAAAAGACCTTTTTTGCTTAAATCGTACTAGAAATCTTTCATAATTCGCCCGGCTAAGTTCAGAATACTTTCTTAAAAGTCAGCTTCGTAATAAAGCTCTTACTGTGAACAGAAGTCTACAATCGCGCTACTCAATCTCATGTCTCTTCAATCCTTTCGCCTTTAGGCTAACAAGAGATTTCTCGTTACCAAGCGCGTTTCCTGCTTAAAGATCGACGGTTTTCGGCGATTATGTTTGTAATTCGGTACATATGGGTGTGCATGTGTGCGTTTTTCATATGAAACTTACAACCGGAAATCATTTAACTCATTTGTTGTCGATGATATTTACTTTTTCCTTAACTTCTTAGTACGAGTTTTCCACAACTTCAGTTATATCCTCTGCTTCTGCTTCTACTCGCCAGCACTTCTTACTATCCCACCGCGTCATTTCCTGCTGCTGCTGCTCATCATCTTCATCCGACCATCCGCCGTTGATGCTTATTTATTGCATTTTTATTGGTAGAAATTGAAAATTGACAAAGTTGTTGTACAACGTCGATCGGTTGTAGCGACGGAGGTACGGGCGCGCAAACGCTTGGTTGGACGAGGGTTGACTTAAGCCTTTTTTCCGTTTTACATAAATGTCTTAAGTCGTTTTCCGCTTTTTCACGCCATCCGCCGCTAATTATGAGTCTCCACTTTGGTTGTTGTTGTTGTTGTTGATTTTCACTCTTCCGCTTTGCGTTCTGTTGGCCAAGTCCCCTTCTTTCTATTATGGCATTTTTAGATTCTTCACACTCATCAAAATTGAAGTATTTAAATCCGTCTTAATTTGCTGCGTCCAAGATTTACTCTTCTTTTTCTTCTTATTTTTCTACCGCCTTGTCGACATTTCCTTTTTAAGGATTTAGCCAATGAATAATTTGAGCTCATTTTTCAATGTCTTTCGAAGAACTTGTTTTTCTTTCTGGATTTTTTGGTGTGCTTACATATTTACATAAAAATTGTAAATCAATTAATCTGGCTTGAGATTCGCGACTTAGCTTGTCTTTCTAACTAGTTTCAGCGTCTCGTCACGATTCCCATGAGAGTGGTTTGAAGAAAGATTCTTAGATGGAGGAGAACTCTCACTTCGAGCCTACGAAGAAAATATGATGTAGTAGAGCTTTTCAAGCCGAAATGAACTCATTCGAGTCTTTGGAGTTGGACTTCTCATATGCCGAGAAAGTCATAATGAGGTCTTCGTCCCCCAGTGGAGGAAATATTGTAGAATAAGATCGAAAAGAGGTTTCCAAAACTACAACTTTCAGATCGGAGTCCAATTGCTCGAATGAATTTTGCCCATCCCAGAGTTAGGAAGATCGAGCAGACGTATTTACAGCTGTAACTTTCGATTCCCAATGCGAGTTGCTTTGGACGAATAGAAAATTTTTCTCTCCGCCGAATGTGAGCCCCAGTAAATTGGAATGGTTAACTGTCGAAATTTTGACATCATGGACTTTCAACAACTTTAGGTCAGTATGCAATCACTGCTGGTGATAAATAAGGCGTCATAATCGTCGTGAAGAAGACGAAATGGTAGGCGAGTTGGCAATTTATCGCCGAAAAACGTAGGTCAAGTAAAAATTCCGTTCGGTTTTATCTAAGAGATGGCGTTA